GTGCCGATCCGAGAAGACCCTCGCTGACCGAGCTCGACAACAAGGAATCGAGGTCGTCATGCCACCCTACCGAAAGGACGAACCACATTATGAACGTCATGAATTACGAGGAACGGTACCGACCACAAATCTGGCGGATGGTAGAAAACCTTCGTCAATTCCTCGTCCGATCCGGATACCAGGCGCTGTTCGAACAACATCAGTGGCGGTCCGACTTCAACATGAACGCGCACACAGCGCCGAATGTTGAACACCCGTACACCAGATCGAATGCGTTGCCGTCGATGACCGACCCGGTCTTGCTCAATGTACCATTGTACAGCCCGGACGGAACACGTGCGAGCCAACTAGGAGCTCGGGAATACTCCCATGACGAGTTGGAGAGTGTTGCCCAGTTCGTCATCACGGACGCACACCCAGCCTTTGTAATCACCGCGGCTCGGGCAGCACTGGATTTAACCCAGTACCTTCCGGAAGGGAGAAGTCGACATGGCCCAGGACGGAGCCACGGCATTCCTGCGATTCATCTTCGCAGCTCGACTCGGCAATTACTTTTGCCATTACACCTGTACGGACTGTACCACAATGAAGCGATACCAGCAGCTGTGGAAACCCTCGTAGCCCAACTCGGCACACCAATGAGAAGTGTTATCCTAGCTGTCTGGATGCGTGACTTGCTGTACACCCACGAACGGTATGCGACAAAGTATGCCTTTCGTGAGGATCACGTAGATCCCAGCGACGATGCAACCCGATTCATCAGCTGGTACCGCGAAAAGAAAACTTTGCCTAGCGGATTCAACTCGTCGCCCTACGAACCTTGGATGTCGGATGACATAGCACCCGGCGCACGACCGTTCGCGCTGCGGCTCCGCAAACAAGCGGCCAAGGAATCGAGGAAGAGCAGAGCGGAGCGCCCAGGCCAGGAAACAGATGAGACCGACGAGATGTCTCAACGGAGCGGCCCGGCGACTTGTAAACCTAGGGACCCGAACATACGGCCACATAACCGACCTGGCCCGGACGATGATGAAGAAGAAGATTACTTCGGCGGCGATAAACCCGTCGAAGTTCCACTCAGTTAAGATCGAGCTCCCACACTGGAACTCGATCCCCCATTGGAATAACTTTAAGGAGGCATTGCCGAGAAACGGCACGGTCGAGAACCGACCTTCCGACTGAGAAACAGTCTAGCTAAGAATCAGCGCCGTCGAGAACCGACTTTGGAATGGACACTTTTCTTCAGTTCTTTTCACGGAAACCGACCAACCATGTACGCGGCGGACGTCAACGACGATTTTGCCAGAAAAGCCGACTGCACAAGTCGGCCGGATTCTTTGGTCGGACCCGGAAACGCGTGGTTAGACCCGGGTATTTCGGCTCTTTCACCGTACCGGTACGTCCCCCAAGGAATCCCCTGGAACGAACTGGGCAATCGACCCCAGTTCACCAGCCTGGCAAAGACAGATCGTAACCACATCTGCTAACAAAGCAGATCGTCAACCACGTTCTGCGACCATCGGAGCCAACAGAAGCCCCAATCCGCGTTACATGGAGATCGATACTCCGGCCAACCGACTCCGGAGAAGAAACCGAGAGGATTACGCTAACATGGCGCGAAACACGTGACTGCGCGCGTTTCACGCCATGTTTGCCAAGCACCCGTGGCCAACTTCGGAACCGGGTAGCCGAGCAGCCTTCACCATTGTAAACAGCGGAAATCCCTCGGCCGAGCCGCCAACAGTGCAGGAAGACTCGGATTTGACTAGGTACGGGAACCGACCACAAAGGTCGACTTCGTACTTTGCCCATAACTGGGAGACATAATGGATACCGCTGCGCAAGTCGACCACAAAGGTCGGTTGTGCAAGCCGATCACAAAGATCGGTTTTGAAAACTGTTCGACCTGTAACGACGCAGATCGTTAGAACCACGACTCGCTACCTTTAGACGATCACACAGATCGACGGAGTATTTGGTAGCCGACCAACAAGAAGTCGACCATGGACGGAAGCTGGCAGTAGCAACGTGGTAACTTAACCGGATTCTCCGTTTGAATCCAGACCTACAGGCTCTGTACCTGGAGATCAACCGCAGTCTCCCCGGACGACATCGGGTAAACCAGCCGATTCACCGGTGACCACGACTACGCGCGTCTTCGAACGTGCTGCCATTCCCTGAAGAGGAACAGCGACGGTGATTTGGATACTGGTGTACCAACGACTCCGCCGCGACCTGCTTCCCCATGTCTCCAATGGAACATCCTAGGCAGACCGTGTTAGAATACGCGATCTGCACCCTCTTAATGAACCCCGCTGACAAGGATCATGCGGCCGCAACAAAAGTGGCAGCATGGCCTGTCAGCAACGAAAATTCCCCGTGGACATGAGTCGTCTACCCCAACAGAAGCGGCTAGGCGTCACAGGTTCGCGACAAAACAGAATGGAAAATCGGATCTGACGACCTCAGGGACTTGCATGTGCATGAAGTTTAAACCAAAGAGCTCGGCTCGGCAACCGGGGCCACAAAGACCCTTAGCGTTGTGAGCGAGCGCAGTGCATGATGAAACGCCAGTCAATCGGCCAACAGATGCCGGAGGAAAACCTTACCTCGCAGGACTGGGCGACCCAGAAGCAAGCAATTCGGATTGACCGACCTCAACAGTAGCTCGGATCCGACCTGGAGTTCACGTCAGAGATCACAGAAGGAACGGAGTTGTGCTGCCGAACATCCCTCTGCCAGTCCGAACTGACCGAAGGATGTCCTGACACTACGGACCCGGCCAACTGTAGCCGAACGCACAGAACTCCTAAAATGAAGTCAACAACCACCAGATGGAGGTCGGAAGTAAGCGACAACAGCTCGGAAAACCAACCAGAAGTACGAAATCGACCTCTCAGTGGAAGAACTTACATTCCCGGCGGATAGACACAAAGTTTATCCGACCTTGGGAAGTCGGAAAATAGCCGACCTCCGAACTCGGACATGGATATCCGACCTCAAGCCGAGGTCGGAAGTGACCGTACACAAGTCGGTAGGGTACGACAACAAGTCGGCAAAGACATTCAGAAGTCGAGAACCGACCTCCTAACGGAAAAATCCGACCTTCGGACGGATGGAAACATAGTTCATCCGACCTTCCGAAGTCGACTATAACCGACCACATGTCGGAAGTCGGCAACTTAGTCAACACGACGGAAGAAGAACGACAGATATCTGCGGTGGACGAATTCGACTTGAAGGAACTTGTTTAGCCCTACATGGGCATGTTATTGCAGGTTAACCCTAGTCGACCACTGACGGACAGGATAACCGAAGTCGACTGGACACTTCCATCGCCGAAACTCATAAATTCCGACCGGACCTTCGAGCCAGTTCGACTCGGATTACTACAAACCAGGCTCGTGGTAGCAGATTGAACGGTTGTAACCGACCACTTTTGAACGGAACTGCTGTACATGACGACCACACAGGCCGCATGACTCACATACAGCTTTTTCCGACCTGGACTTTAGCAATTCGGAACATAGCCGAATTCCCCTAGCCGCCGGTCGACTTACCGGTAGGCCGACCTTGGTCAAACCGACCTCGGTTCTATTCCCCATTCAGAGAGGATGCCTCGGCATTTGCAATTGCAACAGTGCCTCTCTATCCCGAACGGACGGATACGAGTCGGAAGTAAGTGTTTAACCGTGCTTATCCGACCTCGGTGAACGTAACCGGTTACGACGGGTAACCCGGGAACCGATGCCCCAGACCCAACTTACCGGATGAGAGTGGACAGGAGACCCCGTGGAGACTCAACCGCCCCGTGGACGTCATCCTAGTCGGAATAGGACCCCCGGACAGATTTTTGCATTTTTTTAGCATTTTTCCTAACAAACGGAATTGTATTTTTCTAGTTCCATCTCTTTGACAGATCTGTTTTGTAACCCCTTTTGCTCACTGGAATTGTGATTAAACTTTATTTCATACTTTCTTTCGCGCTGTATACAACTTTCATTACACTTTTCTTTCACATTGTTCTCCGTTGCCAACAGAAGCAAGAAGCCAGCCAACAGAAGCAACACCGGTCCAACGAAACGCCCGAGCGGCTTCCGGATTTTTCGGCCGTGAGTGGCTTCCACTCATGGGTTCGGAAGTGAAGAAGGGACGGTCGACCAGACACCGGACTCCCACTGCCAGAGGACGCGTACCAGCGACCCCACATTGGGTCCGACTGGAGAGTTGTGCGGTACTGGTGCGGTACTGAGTCGGACCATCCTTCGCAGGAGCTCGGATTCCCGCCCAGAGGCATGTCAGAGGCACATGACTGCGCCTGGTGCATACGGCCCACCATGGACGTACTTGCACTCATGCTTGCCATATCGCCTCTCTCGCTGTACGTACGTGTGCTGCTGCACTGCACTCATATCCGCTGAAGCGGATATATGCGGCGCACACTGAGCATACTTGCTCTCTCGTCCTCTCTGCATGACTCAGCGTACGCTCGCGTTGGATTGAGTCCAGTCTGCGCATCATCACACAGCTGATGGCACACAGCACGTGCTTGCCGCCAGTTGCTTTTTTGACGCCTTGACGAACGCTCAAGAGCTCTTCTAGCATTCACTTGCTTGTTAGCCATCAGTGCTTTGTTTTGCTTTCCCTGCTATTACGCAGCATTGTTCCCTTTATTTGTACAATAAAGCACACTCGTGATCTCCTCGCGCTTGCCTGTTACACGGTATAAATGTAATAATCCGAATAATAATAAATTTTGTTACGATGTGTCGATTCGTATCCACCTAATAATTCCGGTTCGCTGCGAGTTCGGGACAAACTGCCCATCGACAATACCGTATTTAGCTGTACGAGAGCATTATATTTATTTGAAATTTATCATTTAAAATTTTTTGCCATAATAGCAGCGCATTAATTCTTAGAAATGCCTGTTTGACGTGGTGTTGCAGAATGCGAAGCAGCCCCCAGGCAATCGGTCAAACTGAAAATTCGCCATGTTTATTAAATCTTATTAAACCGTATTAAATTTTATGCAAGTGCTGCGCTAAATTTTATGTAAGTGCGCCCATCAATCATCCAGAGTTATTCAGTTAACTCAAAATTTTTCACGAAAATCTCCCAATAAATTACTTTCAGCCAAGACAAACAAACATTAAACAGAGCTGAAACAAAAAAAAAACGAAAACCAGATAAACAGAAAGCAACCAAACTGACCAATGGCCAAACACATCCACCCGGCAGGTTTCATTACAAATCCGGAAGCGCAAACTGCTCTCCATCAGAGAAATCATTCAAACAGTTTTTTTATACTCGACGTCACACCATCGTGAAAACAATTATACCGACTACAAAAAGCAAAATACCTCTTATTCCCACTCCGTCGTCCCCGGCGGTTTGCAGGTCAGGTCGTAGACAACGCGCGACACCCCGCCCACCTCGGTTATGGCACTCACCATATCCAGTATCGTCTGCAAAAAACCATAGAAAATTAAAATTGAACTGAAATTTTAGTTTCGGCGTCTGTTGGATTCAGTAAACAATATACCAAAATTCAAATTAATTTCATAACAAATCTTCGAAAACAAGCATGTTCCGACAAACTCACATTCCTCTGAAAACCACAACCGTCGCACAGTCGAACAACAAATAATCGCAGCCGAAAACAATTCAAGTTTTTCGTGCGAATCATAATTTTAAAAAATCAGATTTTTCAACGAAAATAAAACAAAATAAAACCGATAAAATTATTCAAAAATCTAATCGGGTTTTTCTGAAAACCCTATCTGTCGCCAAATCGAGCCACAATTAAAACCACAAGAAAAAATTAAAAAAAGAAACCACAAGAAATTTTTAGTTCTGCAAGAAAATATGTTGAAAAAATAAATAATAAAATTAGCGAAACCAATATATATCTACTACTATCCCGATAATTTTCTCACGAAAACTAGCGTTGCGAACTTACACTTTCGGGTAGGTGTACATCGGGTATAGCGAAAATGAAAAATCCCTGTCATGAAATCATTGGTGATGAAGGGCCGCAGCACCACCGAATGCTGCCGTCCGGCATAATTGGGATCCACCGTGTCCACGTCGAACACGACAGGAATGAGTATTACCGGCATTTGAGCAACTGCATTGTAGTGTCCACTCTCCCATAATATCTGCCATCACACAAAAAATCCCATACAACAAATGTATTAGCGTTCTGATACAAAAAAAATCATTTTCATAAATACAGTAATTATTTTGCAAGTCCGTATAAAGCACGATATATACTGATCGTTGCAGCAAGCTGCGAAGCAAATGTTCATACGCCCATTACACTACGCTCTTGTCTAATAATACATCACCTCCCTCACAAGTAAAAAATCAAAGACATAAATTGTTTAAAAGCGAAACAAACTCAGAATTCTGCTGCAGTAATATACTAAATTTTAAAATCTGGTATTCAGAAGAATTCGCAACTGTAACGAGTGCACACTATGTTATTGTGCAGAAGTGGAATTTTAATCAATTTTATTGCTGATTTTACTGCCATTGCACCATCTGTGGACCCGTTTATCCACGTAGAAGCGCATAAGGGGGACAGCATGGCGACAGGTTCTGGATTGAGTTTATTGACGCAATAGCTGCAGACAGCGACCGATGAAGTAAGTACTGTAGTAAGAACTTACAATTAATTTAATACTTCTATCGAAGTTAATTAAATTTTAAGCTGAATTTTGTACAGTTTTGTAAACTGCCGCAGTTGCAAAAGATGTGAGATGATTGTTAAAGTCAATTTGTACTTCAGCATTGCATCATTATGTGGCCAGCATTAGATCATTATGACACAATGTCATTATCTCATGGCGCTTTGAAGAGGAACACGGGTCGGTGCAGACTGTGCAGTCCCCGTCGTTAAACAGTATTCCAGAGACTGAAGTGGAAGAGCACCTACTTGTTATGGAGACAACTTCTTTGGGCTATGCCACTGATGGTAGGTAGACTTAAAATTATGACGGTATTTATAGCAACAATACTTCTCGAGCATTCTAATAAATACTCGTAGTCTCGTACGTAACCAAACTACAATAGCATTCTGTACAGTGTAAATGTTCGCTTTCTAAAATAGTCGGTCTGATTTATGTATTGCTGCTCGTCATTCTAGCTATTGCAGATTAATTAAAATTTGTCGCGCTCCTTGATGTACACTACGATAAGCGCTAGGAAAACTATTTGCAGGGAAACTAGAGACCTGCTGTGCCGTTTGTTTGAAATCCCCATGCGCAATGAATTACGGCGTCCTTACTTGCGATTCGTGCAGAAAATTTTTCAGGACAAACTGCAACAGGCTGGTGAGTGTATGGCTTTCATGCATTTATAACGCTGTTGCTACCTGTCTTATTTAGAAATTGAAATGCAAAGGAAGAAAAGGCGACTGTGTGGTGCAAAATGTTTACCAGCCATGCAGTTCGTGTCGTATGAAGAAGTGTCGGGCACTTGGTATGGACCTTTTGGCTAAACGAAATGTACACCAACAACTGGACCGAGCTACCCTTGAATCGAGGCTCATCAGTTTGCGGAATCATCGAACTCCCAATGTTTATGTACTGAAGGCTGTCAAGGCTGTTGTTCGCAAGTGCGAAAGTGCGGACGACGTGAACAAACTGCTTCACGCAGTGGAAAACGGAGAAGTGGAGGAGACAGAATGTGTGCGGTTTCCACACAAGTCCATTAAGGTAACGAATAATACTTTTAATTCAGATGTTTTGAGTTTTGCATTTATTTGTATTTAATTTTATTTTCGTTTCACATTTATGACTGTTTAGATCGACAAACATGAACATCTTAGTCATGTGCTTGTGGCTAAAGCGTTTCGCTGGAACCGAGTCAGTGAAGATAAAGTCGTTTCTTCGCACAGCTGCAAAGTTGATCCCGGATATGTGTGCATTAATCCGTACCATTACCGCAACAAGAAGCAAGGACCAGCTGGAACTGTTTGCGTTGTTACTAACTGCAACTTTTCTACAGTAATAAATCCCACTGTTGGATTTTTTCGACTGCCGGACAGAGAACAAAGCAGAGAGCGGTATCTGAAATTTTTCTCCGCATGTGCCCGACAAGATCTGGACAAATCGGGTTTCAGGAAGCATCACCGAATTTGCGGAAGGCACTTTTTGGAATCCGACTTTAATATTACGTATGACTTTAAATTATCTGTTTGTATTAATTACTAGTTTTTATTTTTTTAGTGGCGAAAAGCGAATGCTAAACGAATCTGCGCTTCCGACTCTCTACATGCCTAAGCCAATTAATAATATTTCGCGCCGTCGGGATATTGTTCGGCTTACCCAAGAGGAATCAAAAGAGCACGAGAAAAAGCGTTTTTGGAAATCTTTGTTGTCTTATAAGTACCAGTGCGTGATCGGCAGACCGGAGTGGAGGCGACTGCTTTGGAGTGATTCGGTTGTAGCTTTTGGACGCATGCGCATTTTGTCCACAGAAACCCTCGAAGTTGCGGCGGACACCTTGATTATTCGCGCAAATTTTACTGCACAGCTGAAAGTCGGATTGCACTTTGTGTCTAAGGAAGTATTGGATCGCTTAGTAGGAACGGATGTAATCGCTTGCACCCGCAGCTTGCAGACTGTATGTGATTTGGATCCAGCACTTTTTGCGCTGCAAGGCCTGCAAAACCAGATTGATGCTCAGTGCCAACACGCGATTACCTGCTGTAAGCAAGTCATTCAAACTCTTGAAATGGAGCAAGATGCCGAGCATGTGGATACCGATAATGCGTTTATAGAGGAAGAAATAGAGGAAGACTGTCAACGCCAGCAAAAATTGTTATGTATTTTCCGATTTGCTACGGAGTTACTTGAACATTCCCTTGTGAAAAGCCGACACGCGTTGCGACATTCTGATAACCTGCTTCGTATCTGCGGAGTATTTCGAAGTATATCTACAGCCGCCTATGTGTATTTTCGAAATTTTTTGTTTGGAATTTTACCTCACGTCAGTTATTTACGTGACTGTTCGGCTGGTAATGCTTTAAGCGACGGAATCCAGGAGGATAATCTCAGAAAGTTACAAGCTATAGCTGAATCTCTGGATGACAAACACTTGGATGTTGAAATTATCAGTGATCAAACCTTCACTGACGAAAAGCTGGAATATCGGGGAGGAGAAATTATTGGTGTAGCCACAAATCAAGATGAAATCGTTGCAGCCAAGCATGTACTGCTGATAATTTTACAAAGCTTCACTGGTAAAGTTCGGAAAATTGTAGCGTTTTATTTTGTGAAAAATCTGAAGGGAGCGGAAATGGCAGATATTTTGGAAAGAATTCTTGTTGAAATTGCCTTAAGAACAAAGTTTCGGGCTCTGGTTTGGTCTGCAGATAATGGAGCTGAAAATATGGGATGCCACTCACACTTTATTACTGATAAAAGCCAGTTTCCTTGGAAATTCCCACACCCTTGTGTAAAAGGCGCGTATGTTTACGTGTTATTGGACATAATTCATTTGCTAAAAAGGATCTGGACAAATTGTATCCGAGAAAATAATTCATTCGTCATTGAAGTAAGTAATGAATGTATTGAAGAAACATTTAGACAGGTGCTGTCTCTCATATAAAATTAAAACGTGTCGTGTCCCTGTAATATTTGTTTTTTCACTCGTACTTTTAGGTTGGATGTCATAGAGTGGATTTAACGTTGCTGCTTCAGATCTATGAAATTGAACGCGGATGTGTGGTAAAAAACGCTCCTGATTTGACAGCAAAATTGTTTTATCCAAATGGATTTGAAAAAATGGACGTTTCGAACGCAGAAAAAGTTAGTACTTAGTATACACATTAGAAATGTAGTTTGAATTTGGGACATTTTTTATTTTCTCTACATGTGCCTTTGTAGATTTTCTGTTCGGACCGCACCTTAGGAACCCTGAGGATGTTAATAGTAGATCAAGATCATGCACTCTTTAAGGCATTAGCAGAAATCCGTAAAGAATCGGCGGAGCAGTGTGTAAATGGCCTGAAAGTGTTAGCGTGGTTTATTGAAACTGTAAGAAAAATTGTCATGCCGCTTACCGTTCTAAGCCCGAGACAAGCGGCGCACCTGAAGCAGCCTTTGTACGAAGCGCTCACTCTGGAGAATATTGACAAAATATTTAGCGTAAGTTTTTCTTTTGTTCTAATATCACGGACAGCGATGGTTTATTCAGAGAAATTAACTAATATTTAACTTTCAGGAGATGAAGCAAGCTTTGTCAGAGTTGCAGCCGTCTTCTAACTGGAGAAAATCTTTGCCAAAACCTACATGGACTGGCCTGCACGTTACGGTATACGGGTCCGAAGAAGTGGCCAGGCGACTTTTAAATTCAGGCTTCCAGTTTGTTCTGCCCGGTAAAATGACCAGTGACCCAATAGAGGTAATTAATAACAAGAAAACCAGTTTTTGTTTCATCTTGTCAAGAAGTTTCAGTTTATATGCATTTATTTATATATCATTATGTAATACGCATGTAATACTATGTATTTATTTATGTCTTTTGTATTTATTCATGTTTCATTTTATCAGATTGCTGATTTGCAACTGTTTTTAATCTTGCAAAACTATTTTTGTTCGATTTTAACAGAGGCTGTTTTCGACATTTAAATACGGCTCCGGAAAGGTGACAGTTGGGAAAGTCAAAGAAGAAGTTAAAAGGATGGAAACACTGCAGCACCTTACGGGCACTACTAATGTTAGTCGAATGGGGCGCCAAAAGCGGAAAAATAATGGAGTGAATTTTTCAACTTCCCCGCTGAAGAAAAAACGTAGACTGGACCAGCCACTACGTACTGCGGCTTTTAATTTTGAAACAGAACTCAATTACTTGCGCTCGCTTGGAGATTTTTCTGTTCAGTCGCCGTCCGATATTTTTGGGGAACTGCAGAATTTAAATGCCGAGCTGTGGACTTCAGTTCAACTTGTCACACTAACCTTTGAAAATCCGGTCACACTAAGCAGTTCCAAGAAAGGTAGAAGAAATGCATAGTTTAGAAATATCTATAGTTATTATTTTTGTATTTTTCAGACCTTGTCACTACTGGGTTGACTGATCTGGGAGGTTACATCGTTTCAAAAATTCAGAAAGGAAAATTTTCCTGCACCTCTTGCAAGGCCGGTATTGGCAACATGTTTGGAGTGATTTTTTCGGAGAGTGGCGGATTAGTCACGGCACGGTCGCGTACTGATTTTGGTGGTTTAAGCTTGCCATGTCCGCAACTAAGCGCGCTGTTGCAGTATGCACTTGGATTTTTCGAAAAGTTGCAAGAGATTAATGATTTTTACAGAGGTGATCGGCATTTGGAAAGAGCACTCAAGTTGACTCTGTTAAATATGGAATTACATAGCTTTCATCCGCTTGGTGATATTTGTTTATGCGATCTTACGAAATATTTAGAGTACGAATGTTTGAAGCGTTTTTATAATACTGCCTTTAAAAATGATGTAAATGAGCGCCGAGCACTTGCTCTGAAGAGAACATACGGTGCTCGAAAAGCGGTACCGATGTCTACAGATCCCAGTAAGTTGAAAAAATTAAAGCAGAATTAAAACTCAATAGTTTCTTATGATAGAAAAACTGAAGTAGTGATTACTAATTCCAAACGCCGAGCGGGAAAGGCTAGTCGCGATGCTGTCCGCCTTGTGAGCGGCTACGTGGATAAACGGGTCCACAGATGGTGCAATGGCAGTAAAATCAGCAATAAAATTGATTAAAATTCCACTTCTGCACAATAACATAGTGTGCACTCCTGTAACATCTTCTCAGTGCGCGACAGCACTTCGTACCGTTTGAGCACGTGAATCAATTTCCTGCAGTTTGGCCACGACATGCTGCGGCAGGAGCGTCGTCTGGCCAGGTGCTTATGGCGGGCACCCGCCTTGGCGGGTGCGATGAGGCGGGTCTTAACCATCAGGCGGGCATTGCAGAAATGCATTTGCACAGCGCACTTTCCCGCTAGAGCGCATCCTTGCCGCAGTGCAATTCATATACACTCTATTTGCTCCCGCTGCTGCACGCTTTATAACTTTGAGACCTTCAAAAATCACCCCTTGTAACATTGTTTACAAAAAAATATGCAGATCTTTCTAAATCGTTTTGTTGGGCAACTTGGTAGTAATTTGAAAAAATGCGTAATGCAAGATGCAGGTCTTGTCCCCAGTGACTGCTACTTTGGTAAACCACTTATTTTAATGGCTTCAAGAAACTCACTTAAGTTGCCAGAGAATTTTTATGCCTCCAATTTCAGAAAACCTATTTCTTTTACACGATTGTTACCGTAAAAGGCATAGTTGCAAAATATTTAAATAGATATAGTTTGCCTACATAAGTTACCAGCCGTCTGTGAAAGCGATTAAATCTATGACATTAAGACAAGCAGTACAAAACTACTAAATAAATTCAAAGCCCGCATTTAAAAAAGAAAGCAACTTCAGGTGACTTGACCACACAAACCAATATCTACGACTATTGTTTGCAGCGACGTCCTTTTAATTTTGCCTTCTAATATAGTTGTCTGATTAAAAAGCAACAATTAAAAAATGCCAACAGTTTTCGATAAAGCCGAAGAAAGAAGTACTTTGACTCACAAAGAATATCCTACTTCAGCTTAAAGGTAGTCTCACCGTTGAAAATTACATATGCGGAAGAAAATAAGTCGCAGCTTCTATTGACACAGAAAAGGGAAAGCTTGTAGTATACCGCAATAAAATAGGCTGCAACCTAAATTCAAAAGAATGTTTTGGAAAACAATAAAATAGCAGCTTAGGCTACAGCCTAAATCAATAATTGTGTCTTGATATCAAGGAATGCATACCAAATAATTCTTTCTTATTTCGCTTGTACTCTGAGATAGAATCAGTTGGGAGAAAGGTTTTGTGAATGAAGTGAACGGAAGTCAGAAAACTTAGGCTGTAGCCTCAGTTAATAAAAAAAATCGAAACGTTACAGCGTAAAATCGCGCTTTACTCACCTCATCTAATTCATACAGATGTAACCTCTTTTAATTTGTGTTTCGAAACCATTGTGGGTGTAAACCAAGTTGTATGGGGACTATTGGGCATCGCAAAAACTACATATTATATATAAACTGTTAATAGATCGATTTGCGTTTTTGGTTTGCATTTCACTGACTGTTCGATTGAATGTCTCGCAGATTTTTACGGCATGGTTAGAAGGCCTCTTGAAGTTTTCCTATTAGCAATAGAAAACTAAGATTATTAGAGAAATAACTCCTTAACCTTCCGGCATTACGATATTGACGAGATTCGGAGAAAATAGGGTCAATAGTTTTTTGAGCATTTAAATGCATTATGCTTGGTAAATTGCTAACATCTATAATATCGTTCTGTACGTATTGCGGCTAATTTACGGTACCTACTGTTATGTTTAAATGTGGTCACTTTTTCTGATCTGCGTGACTTACTATTTTTAATTTACCGTTAATTTTTCACAAAAGTTCTTTTATTTTGTTAGGTGCTTTGGAGTAGATAACTATTAACGGCTGCTTCGAAAAATTAGGATGCTGTCAGGATATGGTGTCTCTCGTGTTTAACTTTTTTAAATCTTATTTAAAAATCTGAAAGTGTAAAGCGATCTATGTCAAATAGCTTTCCATTATTTTGGCTTTTAATCGGTCTTCTGCGTTAACGTAAAACGTGTATGAAGCTGCTCCTTAGATGTATGAATGTCAAGAAATGTGTAAACGTTCGTTTTTATGACTTAGAAATTGAAAAAACTGTTCAGCCACGAAAAACAAAAAGGCGAATACACATAGCTGTTTAAATCGAAAAGGCTCGTGACACAGTAGAAGTGCACTAGCGATTAGGCAAGTGCAGCGCAACTGATGCCTCAGTGCAGTGTGCAATTCGTCTGTGCCCGCCACTGATATTGATGCCCGCCTTATCGCACCCGCCAAGGCGGGGGCCCGCCATAAGCACCTGGCCCGTCGTCTCGGTGATGAACTCGATCTCGTGTTCGACGCGCGACCCGAACACGTACACCACCCGGCTGATCTGCTTGCTGATGCGCGGGATAATTTCGGCTAAACGGAACAGCACTTTCCAAGGGATCTTGCCGGTTTCTAGCTCCATCGACAGGGCGGCGACATGCTTGAACGAACGACCATCGCCCTGCAAGTGCAAACGTAGTGCAATGGAATTAGACACTAAATATTCATCCAAAGTCGGCTCTAAATTCGTGACTAATGACTAGCATACCACGCGAAATAATCTTTAGAAGAAATTAAAATTTCGAATTTAGAAGATACTTTAAATTTTTTAATTTGATTCAGTGCATTAAATTACTGAAAACATACAATAAAATGCCTGTGAAATTGAAAGAAATTCACATTTTTCAGTCAAACCCGACGTTTTCATACGAGGTAATTTCCCCTTATCATATTGTTTTCTATTTGTTTTAAACCAACTGACTTCATTTTCACTTGTTTAATAAATTTATGTTATATATTTATTTTATCAAGTTCTGTACACAATTTTGCAAGTTTTCGTCCGCCGTGCACTGACCTGTACTCCAACGGAGCGGATGGGAAGCACATGTCCGGCAATATTGTAGTCACTGACCTCGTATAGAAAGTCGAGTTCTTGAATAAAATGCATTTTTGTTGCAAAAAAACTGGCTTACAAAAAACAGTGATAAATTACAGAAACTCTAAGCTACTTCTCATAGCCGCCACAATCCGGATTTTACATCAGGTTGTACTGCAGGATGTACATTAAGTAGGATTACAGGGTGTGATACAGAACGTTCATTTAATAACAAATGATATTTTAATGTACTTAATTATAAAAAAAACAAATACTGTTACATCTACATTAAATATACACGAGAAAAAACATTAACATGAGAAATTACTAGAAGTATACAAAAAACTTTGGCACAACGTTTTTAAGAACAAGTTATCGTTAACCCAGACATGCACAGCTTTATGGTGCATTCTAATGTACGATGGCTAACCTTTTAATATGACTGTAGTACGCTGCCCTGTAATGCTATAAAACAACTTCATCATAAATTAACGAGTTAAGACACCACAAATGTATTTGTTGATTTCACTAACAAACTTATTAGCATACAGCATTTCTAAAATTAAGAATTTAGCATTTCTGAGGTTTGGCATTTCTAAAATACCCATACCGGCAGAACTGTATTGTTTAAAGTAAAAACAAATATAGATATAAATTTGTCACAAACTAGTTTATAAAAGCAAATAATGGCAAAATACAGAAATTCGAAGGATTTCTCGTAGCCTCTCCCAACAGGTTAAGCTCTGCAGATGGTGCATCAGGGTGTACTACAGGTTTTACATCAGGCTGCACTTCGGGCTGTACTGTGGGGTGTACATCAAGAAGTACTACAGGATGTACCTTAGGTTGTACTACAGGACGTGCTGGACGTTTATTTACAGTATTAAAAAAAATAATGTTAAAATTCGAAATAATAAATATTGTTATATCTGTATTAAAGAAAGCACGAGATAAAAAACTGTCATAAAAACCACTATACAAAACTTCAGCACTACGTTTTTAGAACATGGTTGAAGTTGCTGGTATGGAGTGCATTAATATAGTATTACATATATAGATATAGATATACATCATCGTAACAGTGAACTTCTGTATTAATAATTCCCTTTTAAAAGTAAAATTTTAGTTTTAGTTTGTCAAAAATATGTTCGTGAAAATTGGTTTAAGTTATTTCTTCAATGCTACCTAAACAGTTTAATTGCTTTTTACAGTAATGTCCAGTTTTAAAAACGGTGGAGTGAATTTTGTGACCCATTAAAAGTTATCAATAACTTATTATCTACAAGGAGAACACGGCGACAACCAGTCAATAACAACATAAACAGGAATAGTGAAATTCAGCGAAACCGTTATCGACAGAAACAAAACGTGAAAATGGTCTTTCATAAAAGAAAAACGAAAACTCTGACGCTGGGATTTAAAAACGTTTAAACGATCGCATGTATGGTTAGTTACTAATGATATCTATAATTACACCTTTTGTAATTTGGATTTGAATCGGAGAAAATTTCCTTAAGTTTCTGTTTGCAATTAGGATTCGTTGGCTAGAAAACTGCTGATTGGCTGTGGGTGGGGTTCGTTATAGCGTTAGGTCTACGAGGAGCAATTTTCCCGTCAGCCGCGCGTCATTTAGAATGTCGTCTTCAAAAACTTTTAACTTTTGTTTCTTTCTGCGTTAAAATTTGTATGTGGAACCCTGAAAAATTAAGAATAGTTAAGCGGGCGAGCGTGGCGAGCCCGCGTTTCTAAATGAAGATATTTGAGTTTCTGTAACGGAGATTACCCATTACCTTTGGGTCACCGCGTGACCTTTGGGTAGCCGACGATTTTTTTCGTGATTCCTATACAATTCAACATGCTGAGTCGAACTAAAGTACTGGGGAACCTCGAACCCGGGTCCCCGAGGTCGCCACTATGGCTTTCACTGAACACACCCAGTTTGAAATGCTGAGGTACGCGCACTGCACACAGTTCCTCGAGGTGACTTTATGTTATGCATTTTTAAAGCACTTTAAAAACGCAAGTTTAACCGTTCGCGTTAATCCAACTCAAAATAACCAGATTAGATTTTTAAACAATTTTCAAACGCTAGCTTCAATTATTTTGTAATATTCCTTTACATTTTAAAAAATTTCTAAATAATTTTAAAAAAAGTTCTAAATAATTCTAAATAATTCTAAATAATTCTAAATAATTCTAAATAATTCTAAATAATTCTAAATAATTCTAAATAATTCTAAATAATTCTAAATAATTCTAAATAATTCTAAATAATTCTAAATAATTCTAAATAATTCTAAATAATTCTAAATAATTCTAAATAATTCTAAATAATTCTAAATAATTCTAAATAATTCTAAATAATTCTAAATAATTCTAAATAATTCTAAATAATTCTAAATAATTCTAAATAATTCTAAATAATTCTAAATAATTCTAAATAATTCTAAATAATTCTAAATAATTCTAAATAATGCTAAATAATGCTAAATAATGCTAAATAATGCTAAATAATTCTAAATAATTCTAAATAATTCTAAATAATGCTAAATAATTCTAAATAATTCTAAATAATGCTAAATAATGCTAAATAATGCTAAATAATGCTAAATAATGCTAAATAATGCTAAATAATGCTAAATAATGCTAAATAATGCTAAATAATGCTAAATAATGCTAAATAATGCTAAATAATTCTAAATAATTCTAAATAATTCTAAATAATGCTAAATAATTCTAAATAATTCTAAATAATTCTAAATGTTAGATCCAGCGTAGGGACGCGATGTGCGTTTAGCCTTCAGCTCTACCGGAAGCAGATTTACATGAACAACCCTCTTGTCATAGACCTGCACGTGTGTAATACCTTCAATCCGGCACTTCCCTTGTGAATTGCCAAAGCAATAATGTTGCTGGAAGTGCTCGAAATTGCATGCGAAAGAATTTCGATACCAATTCCGAGTAATTGGAACTGGAATGACGGCAATTTAATTCCGATTACTCGGAATTCAAAATGACAGTGTTCTTGATTTTCGAATATTCGAAATTTATTTTAGACTGCAGCACTAGTTCTAAATTCAGACCTGCGTAAAGATTCAGCTGATGTTTTGTCCGAAGTGGGGCACAACGCTCCGTTGCGCGCCCGTGAAAGATAACGCGAGTTAGTCACCCCAGCATTATCAAGCCGAACTCTACCGGCTGCGCTCATTGGTCCGCTACCGGCTACGTGATCCACAGATGAATTACAAAACGTAGCTTCGAAGCTGCGTTTTCTATTTCACACTTTCACCTCCGTTGTTCCGCATAGTCAACAGAGCTTTACACAGTGGTCACCCGTAACATGATGAAGCGTTTTAATTTTATTAGCTAATAAAAATTAATGTGATTGAGTATCAATCTGTATTAGTGATTAGCCCCATTAGCTTAAAATTTGCTAGTAGTACCAGACTGATTGCTAATTTAGTAATTACGATTACTAATTAAAGTAATTATTATTGGTGTTTCTTATTAGGATTAATATTAAATAATTATATCAACAATGTTGTTTAGGTTGCGTTACTGCATAATTAAGTCTAATTACGCTGAGTAATTAGTTGAGCTACACTGAGGAAATGAAATTACATTAGTCAGTAAAGTTACCAATTATTTATTAAATTAATCAATAATTACCATCAAGCATGCTGCATGCGAATTTATATGCTTTTGCGGCCCTGCATTAAATTCATTTGTGTTTATGCAGAACGATTCATTTAGCAGTCAGTGCTAGCGATTCATTTGGATGATCCACTACTTATAACTGGTCCAACGCACTCTCATTTTTTTCAGTGCGTCATCCAACAATGACGCATACTGCTTTCACATTTTATTTCGCGATATTTTTCTCGAGAAGTTTAGCTAAATCTTTAAAGGTTTTTAAATTAAAATTCTAAAATTTCCACTTCAGATTTTTTTTAATTTTAACTCTAAATGTCATCTTGAAGTTGAACTTAAAATTTCAACTTGAAATTTCAAATTGGAATTTTTTAAGGGCCAGTTTAAAATTTGAAATTGAAAACCTTGTTTAAAAGCGGATTAAAATAATTGCCGGAAAATAGTGTTAATGCACCTAGGTCCTAGAAATCGGCTTGCCATAGTACTTACGTACGTATCTATAATATCTGACATTTGTGATATCGGTGATTCGGTACATCTATGTCGGCTTGCCATACGTCTAATATCGGCTTGCCATACATCTAATATCGGCTTGCCATATAGCCAAAGTAACACGTCGCCTTGAGCGCCTGAGCGGTAGTCGGCTACCGGAAGTGGGCGGAAGCTGCTGTCGCTACCTACCGACACTGTTGGGCGGTTGACGGTTACGGTAACACTGGGCGGGTGTTGTGTAGTCGTAGCAGACCGCATGAACTGCCTTCCCTCTTGCTACCAGCTGGAAGAGTGCAAGTTGGCGACCAGTTCATCAGCGAGCAACCTAGCATTTGTGCATTAGGCACGTAGTCACATAGTTCTATGTAAATTCGTAGTTACGGAATCCTTCTATGTAAAATCACGAAGCGATGTTTTTCTACAACTAAGTAATTCGATTTCGAAGCGACTGATTTCCGTGTCGTCTGTCGCAAGCACATTACTTATTTTCTTAACTGTTTATCATTCATATCTTGCTACCATGGACGTAAGTAAGGACCTACTGTTGCACCCCGAGCATGGTGAGTGAGATTCAGATATCCTAAAAACTGCGTTGTTAAATTGCTAATTTATCAGTACTTCAGAGTTCAGACTTCAGTGGCCTTCAAAACCTTGATGCTTTCAGAAATTAATGCCATACATTAGTAAGTTCTGATAAGTACTTGTACTGTCGTACACTCGTACATTAAACTAGCGGTGGTTGTTAACCACATTATTGCACGAGCGCGAGCGCCAATACCACTGAGTAGTGTACTGGGTTTATGGAACTGAAAAGTTAGTCGTGACGCTCTTCGTGGCGTCAGACAGATTTATGCTCTTGACGATCAGTTAATTGCAGCACCAAATAATATTGCAAAATATTAAATTTTGCAAAAGATTGCAAAATTATTACTAATACATAACTCGTTATGGATACAACGTGTCGTACAGGTACTTTTAGCTACTGCTCAGTGCTCACTGCTGTGACTGCCCAGTTCAGATTAATTTAACCGCCAACCGTGGTTAGTTGCACTAACCAGCATCTGTGTATTTGTCAGGCTGACTCAAGCATATACCGGTACTTGTATAATTACTTATAAGAACAAATGAACAATATATAATTATTTTGCATACCAGTATCTGACGCATATTAAGTATGTGTAAATTATAAATTTTATGATTTAAAAGAGTACAAAATGTTTGCCCACAATTAAACAAAAAAGACAACCCTGCGGATTGAAAAAGACAATCTCATGGCGCTAATGGATTGTACAGGTAAGTTATCTGACACTGCCATCTAACACGGTTGGCGGTTACGCATACTGGACAGTTCTGACTGGACCCCTTCATCACTATTCACTAGTGCTGGAACATCGCGATACTGGAGCCCCGGCTGCTGGGAAACCGGATGGTGCTCTCTGTGATCGGCTGTGCGGTGACCGTGGGTCATCCTGAAGCCGGTCGACCGGGGGTCGGCGGTGTCGCATACTGGTTAGGGCAACCATCCACGGTTGACATCCAGATCAACCTCTAGCGACGAAAGTCAGGAAACGCGGCATGTATAATGGGAACAGCACCACCGGCGACGAATTTAGGCGAAATCTTTGGTGTTATTCGCGCGCCTGGGTTTGTAGACGTTGCTGTGATGAGTGAGTGTGATCTGTCTCAGGTTTTATGTGTGAAAAATTTTGTAGCACATAACGTGAATAGAAAAAACCTATAGTGCATTTGGGTGTTCAATTTAACTCGAGGCTGTAAGTTCGTTACCGGCTCAACGCTAGAAATCCTCCTCGTAGCAAAAAAAATGTTACAAATGAAAATACTCGTTCGCAGTTCTGTTTTTGAAAACATGTTTCTCGTTCAGACGCTCAAGTTGGTGTTAACGATTGAACAGACTTTAAAATAGATACAATAATGAATAGTGGCGGACGAATAACAACTGTTGGAAATTTAACGGGAATTAACGTTTCGCGATCTTCAGACCAGAACATTTTGCCGTAAATACATGTAGGGTTGATCGGCAGAGGTCGTAAGTGCAGACCGATGTCCGAACTTGGCAACTGAGAGGCCAAGCTGGTCAGTCCACCGCTTGCATAACCGTCCGCGACCAGACCCCTTTATTGATAATCCAGATAAATGACAAACGATAAACAATATGATGATAAACGATAAACAACGTGATACAAATAGCTAGATGGGTGTGGAGGGCGGGTTTTCTCTTTCGACGGCAAGATCTTCAGCAAACGATTCCGAAATTACTTAAGTAAAATACAGTACATAACTAAAGCTCAATATGCAACGTCCATTGGAAGTTTTGCATAACAACACGGTAACTTCCGATCGCACGTTAACGACAGTTATTGCTGTACAATAGATTGTTATCGCCCCACAGGCCCGGTAGACGGTAGCGATATACGGTATCGATGCCGGCCGCACCGGAAGCTCACCGGCACACACCTTGCGTGATCGGCTGATCGCAGCCGGGATAACACGGTGTACGGTGAATAACTATGCACTGATTAATCCATTTTTTGTTTACAAAAAAACGAAGTCAGTTTTCAACACTAGCGTTTTATTTTACGGAATTTACCGATAGCTAGAATGCAGTGGTTTATAATTGCGAATCTACTGAGAACTGGTAGAATAGATAGAAAACGATTTACGGCCTTGAGACTGCTGAAAAAAAGACAGGATGCGGCTCGATATCGTGAAACTCCATCAAATTGTGAATTCTGTTATTTTTTAGGTCCCTCTGGATGAGCTGGAAGCCATGTCGTGGTGTCAGACGATACTGGCAGACACTAATCAAGTGAGCTGCCGTAACACGGTCGCCGTTCGCAATCCTGACGACATTTGGTGGTTGGGTTACATTCAGGATATCAACGGCGACCACGCCTTCATCCATTTTAACTCCACAGTAGTCCATGCTCGCTGGATTCACATGAAAGACATCTGGCCTCTGCCATCGTATTTCGACTCTGATATTTACAGAAGGGAAGGTTATGAAAACACTAAAATATTTGCGGCACTGCGGGATGAATATAACGGTCCGTTTCGTATGCGGCCAGCCATTATACTACACAGACTTCCGGGATGTAGCCCGTGTTGTTGGATGTTTTACATCAGAACCGACGGTTCTGGCAACGACGTCCCCGCACAAAAAAAATACGTTGACCTTGTCCACGAAAGTCAAGTGGCCAGTGAGATGCCACCAAGCGGTCCCTCGTTACTGGACCGTCGCAGCGGTTTCCTGTATACCAAGCACTTCATCCCTTTCCATCACGCGAAAGAGGTTTTTAGAGAGCCTTCCGATAAATTTCGCATCGTCCTGCATATGTCTGACGATCTTGGGCCCAAAATGAATGTAAAACATGAATATCTGACGAGCTGCTGCCGATTCCATCTGCGCACCGAACCCGAGGGTTGTATATTTGTCATCGGAAGTCTAGGAACTGACGCGGAACTGATGCGCGGAATGGCTACAACCTTGACGAAAATTCTGGAAACCCATCTTGCCAGCCGAGCCGATCTACCATCTATTAATAATCGAATATTTTCCGAAAGTGAACGTACCCTTGGCGAAGCTGGTTAGTATATATAGGGTAGTGTTCGTTGTGAATGCCGTCTATCAAATTTTTATATTGTTGTACAGACTGTCAATGTACACGAATTTAGTGCTATGTACCGGGCCAAATCCCTTAATAGCGATGCGTTGATAAGGAAAACGATGTATTCGGCTTTTGTGAGAAGGCCATACAACGGATGCGGCAGATTGCCATCACATTTTCAAATCATCTAAATAAGAATAGCAGAAAAAGTATCCTCTTTGCGAGTACTGTGTAGCAGTATACATCACAACATTTTTTATCGTTCAAGCCAAAGCAACCGAAGTGTCGGAAGATCTATTACATGAAGACACCTTCCCGGCTGTTACCGATTAAACTGTGACCAAAGTCCATTTAATTCAGTTGCACCGTATCATTGCTACGAGTATCACTACGAGTACTTTCACTTATGAGTTATGAACATCGTTAGGTGCACGTGCGTGTGTGTACTTGCTTATGAGTCAAAGTTATTGTGATAGTGTGATGACTTTGCTCCAACACCAACAGAATACAGAATATTTTGTGTTGAATGACTTGAGTCAACCTATATTCTTTCCTTAGATATCGAAGTTAATGGATTGCTGCGTCCGTCCGTGCCTGCTGTCTGTGTCCGTGATTTGACACCTTCGCTAATGAGCGACATCTTGTCACATTTGGACTTGCATTCACAGATGAGAGCTAAACGGTACGCGATTAATCTTTGCGCTCTCTTAATTAAGTATTTAATATTCTTTTTGAGAGATACAGTACGAGAATGATACTTCTACAAATAATGAGCTCGATGTACCCGAGCATGAGCCAACAGCTCGTTAGTCGGGCCCGTGCCTGTGCAACACGGCCAGCTACCAAGGGATGGAATCATGGCAGCCCGTTCTATCTGTACAAAACAACTACCGGTTGTAGATTTTTATCGCCAAACAGGTTATTAATTGTTAAAATTCTATTATGACAGGCACAAGTTATGGCCATTTATTTTTCTCGTAGATATAGCATAGGATCTAGATCCACGATCGGGTTCCACGCACATACGATCTGCTAGTTTGCTTCTATTATTATAAACAAGAACTTGTTCGGCATCGAAAATCTTGTGAATTTTTTCTCATTTTTTAGAAATGTAGGTTGATGCCCGTTGAGTGGTCTCGTTTCGAAATGTGCTAGACACAGTCACACAAGTGATTCTGTATAGCATGCGAGTCTATGGAGGAAATGTCATTAGTCCGAAAGCTGAAATTTATCGTTAGGCTGTAAAAAACTAGAATTGAACCACACGATTGTTTGCAGTTAAACGCCCAGAATAAACGGACGTACCCAAATTAATCCTTAGTCCTACACTCCTACTAACGCGATTATAAGACTTAACTGAAGATTTGAATTATTGTTGTGCTGTTCGCAATCTATAGAAGTATTTATATTAGTCCATCGTGATTCGTACTGTTTTCGAATGCGAAAAACATTGCTCTCCAAGGTACATATCAGTGATATCACTATCAGGGTTCCGTTTTGCAACCACGTAAAAAATGAAGGAAGATCAGATCGTACTCGAATTGCATACAGTAAGTACTTATAGTAAAGGCACATGATTGAACTTCTACTCGTGACCTCTTTTGCTCGTGAGAAGTGCGCCGCCTTTCCAAGTTTTCACTGTACTTATGGTCTAATATGTTCATGTTGTTTTTAATGTTGATAAGGAGTGTACTAGTAAATGTATTTCCTACAGGGTGTGCGTCTTGTGGCAGTTGCTACTGAAAAGCTCCAGCATGATGGAACACGTTAGTATCTCTTTCGAAAGCTGTTGGCGCCTCAAAGTGGACACTGACAACTGCTTCAAAGCAGCCTCTCTGCTCAGCCGCTCATTAAGCTCAGCGACAATCTGTCTCACAGTGTTGAATGTCTTCCCGCCAGAGCGCGGTTTTTTTTTGGGTTCGATGTTAGATGCCTTGGAAATTGAGCTACCGTTTCTCATGTTCAAAAACTTCATTAACGTCAAACCACGAGGAGCGTTCCAAGAAAAAAAATCACGTTTAAAGCATGGGATGGCGGAACATTTAACTCCGTACAAGCACTACTGCAAGTTCCTCTTACTGCAGAACTGGAAAGTTTCTGACCTTTTTGGACAACAAATGTATGCCGTCTTTAGCAAGCAGGTGGTTTGCCATCACCATGAGCCATTCCCCGGCGTGACTTCCCTTCCCCTGCCAGCGCACGAGCAGGAGTGGATGGTGCGTCTCACAAGCCAGCCGCTCGAACTGGCCATTGACAAACTGCAGATCACTATTCCCAAGCTCCTTCTGCGCTGCAGCGATGGCAAGATGCACATGGCCAGTCGTCTGATGTGCGCCTTGAACGACAACTTCCCTCCGGTCACGGAGGACATGTTGGCAAAGGTCATGGCTGTCCATGTGCGTTGGCAGCGCACCCTCACCTACCCCGAGGACTGGCAGCGCATTCGCAACTACCTTCTTATGTAAGTAATCAGAGCCTTAGGATATGACGTTAACAAAAATAATGACGTGTCACTTCACTCACTTGTGCTCTACATACTTCGGGTGGCTTATAACTACCCCTTTAATATGGCATCCGTGTTTGTGTGGATGCTGCATTCTCCGCAGTGAGACAGTACAAAACTTACAATTTAACAGCGCCGTGAAATTATTGTTGCGACGGTCACAAGTTAGACCACTGGCTGAACCGGCTGCTGCTGGGCATTGCCAAGAAAATTAGACAAGGTACAGCCGACTATCGTTCTCGCCACCTTGAGTTCTTACGAGCCAATGGACAGCATGCCCGCCACTTTCTCTGCCTCACCCGCTCCCAGACACAATACAAACCGGTGCGTATCGTTATTGGTCGGATTTGCTCCGTTCCAAACAAATTCTTGTTATTGACGTATTGCTTTTCGGAGATAATGGTTTTTGCCCAAAAAAAACCAGTATTCAAAAGGCGCTTTGAATGGTGTGCGACAGGAACCAGTAATCCCCATCACTGATTAAAAACGCGGACAGTGAGTGAAAATGTCCGTAGAAGCACTCCACCCTCTGTGGTTTAACTTAAGGTCGTCGCTACAGCCTACAGGCTATGGCCGCTATGCAGTATAAAACCCATTCGTGTTTGTACAACAACGGCGGCTGCCAAAACGAGTTTTGGCAAATCCAAATCTTGTACCTCTCCAAATCTTGAAGGTTGAAGGTTTCAACAGTAAAGCAAGAAAGAAACCTACCCGCTCACACCACCTGTGGGGCCCTTGGGAGTTGGTATTTCCGTACGACGCGATGGACAACTAACGATTAACACAGTCAAGTGTAGAATCCCTCTGGCACTGAAGCCCGATCTTTCATTGCAGCAGTCATGCGTTCAATAGCACAACGCATCTTTGTCTTGACGATGTCCAGACATTTTGACCACCCAGCTGGGCAATTGCTTTCTTGCTATTTTTGCTTGCTTATTGTTAATGTACTCGTATCTGTACCGACTGTACGTATGTACTACACTGCATACTGCAGATTGCAGAATCACAAACGTTGGTTGCTGTTGGTGGTATCAGGTATGCAAATTCGCATTTATTGAGAAGGGCGAATTTGCATAGCGCATGCGAAGAGATTCCTTTACGGATTTTACGGATGCAAACAAAAACGGAAACATTTGCTTTGTAATTTATTTGAAGGCGAGCCTAGCATCACCTACAGTGTACAGTACTTTAAATTAAGTTGTACAGGTTCAGCGGCTTTCACCCCGACGGAAGACCAAAAGTGTGGGACGATGTCGATCTGAGGGTTGTTGATGTACGCACATGGAGTAAAATGGCCATATACGGGATACACGAGGTGTTCCGCTTGTGAGACCATGTAAATGCTGCCACACTGATCTCGTTGGGGAATTATTTCGATTATGAGTGTCAGGATAACACTAGCATGGAGAGACGCCGGATAACCAGAGAAGAAAAGCATCGGCCATTCCGCTGTCAACTGTCATACATATCTTTAATCAATTTTAAATTAGAGCTGCTTTCACAATTTCTGTCCTCGAAATTCAACATCGATAAATGGAGTTATAGTTTTTTCTTCCTTTTGGATGTCCAATGAGATGTCCTTTGTGTGGCTGTTCACCGTTCAGCGCATTTCTTGCCTAAATCTTCTCGTTTTTGTTTTTTGCATGATTTAGAAGGAAGTTCGTTTCCTTCTGTTCTGTTTGCGTTGTTTGTTCAGTTCGGTGATTAAGCAATTGGGAGGTTCGTGAGTGTTTCGGTAACTTTCGTTAGGCACGACAATCCGCTTGTACTAGCGAAAGTAGGTAGTTGTATGTACTGTACCACTTACCGAGCAGATTCTCCAGTCCATAGCAGATTCCCACTTTACCGATTGAGTAGGTTAGGTCATCTATTGCGGTTGTTGCGGTGCGACTTTCGCACAGCATGTCCTTACTGTACTGTAGTGTGTATATTTTTATTGGTTTAGTTAGCAGCTATAGTTATAAACTTATAAGCATTACATTCCAAGACATTACAAAACAATTTAAAGTACCCTAACAGTTGTGAAGCTGCAAAACTCTGCACTATATATCGTCATACGAGCGAAATTTTGCAGCTCGAAGTTCGAAAACCGACTTTCTCGCAAGACCAGTTAGCAGGCATTTATTGCTTGTCCACTTTTAAAGCAGGCATTTATTGCTTGGATGCTCGTATTGATCATTGATCTGAGTTGTCGAACTTATACGCGCGATATGTCCGGTTTGGCAGCCACTCGCAAAAGTCGAAATAATTTACAAATCGTTCTATTCTGCGTTTTACACAAGATAAGAGAGTCATGAACTGCACACTGGTCACGTTCACAAAAATGACAGCTTGCACAAAAAGTGCCAGTGCGCTCAGAGGTCATCTGCCGTTGACACATGTCGTCGATGTCCTTCACGTTTCCGCGTTATCCAGGTCCTTCGCACGGATTCTTCTTGACGTATAGCCAACCGTTCGCCCTCTTCAGTACGTTAAGAGGCGCACCCTTAATGGCTTCCGCTTCGCTCGATCCGGATTTGTCCGCAATTAAATTAATCTACAACGACATGTTAGTCGTATAAGTTACATAAGAGCAACAGGCATCATCATGCTGCTGCACTGGAAGCCGTTACAGCCGCTGGCGTGTCGCACTTACGTTCATCTCGTACAGGGTTCCTTCATTGGTGGTTTTCTTGGTGTAGGAATTGACGCCGATCTTGGCATGTAAAAACTTTAAACCGCACATCGAAATAGGCGGCGGTTTCCTATCGGCTCCTCCCGTGAATAAGGCATTCTAATACAGAAAACCCGTGACCCTTAACATTCTACACATAGGTGTTTAAAATTCAAAAGCGTGTAGAAATGTGTTGCTTGAGGACAGTATCTGATAAATAGTTTATACAGCTACGGGCTTTTGTACCGCATATATGACCAACATTTGCATTTTAAAGTTGTCTGTTCTATGAACTTACGGCAGCAACTTGGGTCGATTCGTTGTCACCCCTCAGTGCAGCCACACTGACCACTGCCATCGTCAGCAATGACAATTTTAGCAGCGACATGATGCGAAACTGGCGAAAGACGAATTCAGGAGGAAGCAGGCCGGTACAGTAATCGCAACTGTTGTACTGCTGCAGTTTAGACTCAAACTGTATCTTATATACGACGCCAGGCGCGGCCTGGTTACAAAAATTATCCTTAGGGGCAATTTATTCACCGATTAAAAATAAACACTTCCGAGACGAATAGACTAATTGCAGGTTGTGTAGCTGACTGGACCGTGATATTCATCCTAAAGGCTGACCATTAATTAGATTTTTATGTTTATCGAGAGACAGTGCCCAGGCCTGTCATAAAGATTTTGCTGCATCCTGTCTGTAAAAAGGCAACAACCGGTAATTTAATGTATAGACGTCTATACATGCGACACCAAATTAATTGCATTTTAATGCGCTTGCTGATGATTACAGGGCTACTGCAACTACGGTGCGTTTTTAAAAATCGCGCGCGTATAGTGTTATTGACCGACGGCTTTTTATGCAAGCCACGTATCTTCAGAAATTAGATGTGGCTTTATATTGCTTAATGCTAATAAACCTAAATTAGGGATTGGTGTGCTTCTCGTGCTGCCACAGTATTCAGCTCTTTTGTCTATGATATATTACAAGAGGCAAAAGAACAAGAAAACGGTAATCTCTTTAAATTTAGCAGTTTGTATAGAAGTAGTTTAACTGCATAAGTCTGCATTGCATTCGGCAGCATAAACATACAGTACAGTACATACTGTATCTGGCGATGATACGCGTGTACCGAATATTGTTAAAACAGTTGTTCTGTCTGCAAGATTTGACCGACATATCTTTACCTTTATATATTGTAACAGTGGCCTATCTGGCTGCAGTTCTAGTGGGGTGGCGATCAGCCTTTACCACGATTATGCGGCTGTTGGTATGAAAGGTGGCACGGCCGGCAACGATGCTGACCGAGGACGCTCTTACAGATGTAACGCAATTACACAGGTGGCTCCGATTGGGATGACGCTAGTTCATCCCAAGCGGTCAAACGCAACAACGTAACTCAAGGCATGTTTAATGACAAGGGAATCAAGAATGCGACAAGGTTGTAAGCAAGAGTTTCAACAAGAGGAACAATTAAGTAGATGCAAGCTGTAGCAAGCTGAGCACAAGACTGAATTCTAGAAATTCATGAGAAAGGAAACTAGCCGGTAAAGTGGACACAAATTCATGACGCGATGGAATGAATCATGACTGGGCGGTCTTATCGTTCGTACAAATACTATCGCTACAATATATTCCTGCAGTAATAGTAAAGCAACAGTTTGCATTGTGACTGCTTCCTACGAAGAGGAACAGCGTCGACCTAATTCTGACTTTTTGCTTTGGCTTTTTCGCAGCTTTTATTCACTTACCGGTACTGGCTAATTTTAATAGTATGATGTAATTCTTACGGGAACTGCAGACGAACGATGGGTTTCCCAGGTGACCTTTAACTGCATCGATACCATTCAACCAGACCAAAGCCATCCGCGGTAAGCTTGAACGCAACCGTAACTTATCCGAAATTTCTTAAGTTTTATATTTTTCGTCCTTCGACTGTTATTACCCCGTTTTGGTATACAAAGCTATGAACCAGCTTGAGGCGATTTCCGTTTTTTTCAGGCAATTTATGCAGAGAAAATTTCCCAAAAAAAACTGCTCTGAACAATCGTCGGACGTGGAAAGGCAGCAAATTGAACAGCTCTGGACTGTCAATTTTTAAATGCAAACATGCGTCGTCGACTGCACCACCAAATAACTTACACAGTGCTCTGAGCCTCTGATGCCCCGCTTGGAAGACCGCGCGGTACGTATTCTTTTAAATGGACTTACTTACCTGCTTGTAGCATGACAACCTTTAATTTATAGCCAGGTTGAGAATTTGTTGTGCGCCTTCGCGATCGGTTAGTCCTATTCTCAAAGTGCATTGGTTCAGTAAAAAGCTCATGAGGAAGCTTATTTTGAACGCTTTCGGCGAGTCACGCCGGGCTTGTGACCGTAAAAATATTTCGTGGTGCGGCAATTTATACGCTTCGGTAACTACATTTCTATCCGTGCGCGTAGATTCCGGCTACTCTATTGCAGCGTTCAAATGTTGACCGGTCGTTCACAATATATGTACCTATATGCAGCGATTCGACTTATTGGTTAGAGAATAAAAACGTGTATAGAATGTGTATACAGGGGTGCCAAGCCAAGTTGGGGCAGTTGTGTAAAATTAAATTTGAAAATTTGCCGTATGCAGTTCTGTTTTCGTTTACGCATTTTCTAGGTAAACTTTTTCCTGCCGATCCAGCAGTGTCAAAGTTGAAATCGTTTGCCGTGACAGTAAAGGGCAAGACTGGGATTTTTGGGAAGGGGGAGTGGTCATTTTTCGGAGGCTTATAACTGCTCCTCTGGAAAATACGAAAACTGATACTTTTGTGTGGACATGTGTGAAACCTGTTGTGTGACCCAGAAGGTGTCCGTGAGGGGTCAACATAGGGACGTTATGCCATCATTGCTCGAGGTGACCTCGAAACAAGTTTAATATCCCATAGACGTGTATGTTAAAAAGCACCTTCAGGAAAATGCGATTTCCCCGAGCACTGATCCCTTTAGACAAGATGTCAATGCTTAAACAAATGCTAGAAAGGTTCCGTGGCTACGCTATCCACTAAAACTTCTCAGCTTCCTCTAATTTTTAAATAGTTGTCGAATAAACTTGATTATTTCTTAGTAAGCAGTGCCATTTTTTCACCAAAAATTAAATTATAAATTTGAATCCCGTTCCCTGACCATCAGCTTTTGGCATGGAAACAAAATCACTGAAGTTGCTAGAGACAAAGAACTATCATGGAAAGATTCGATAAAAATCTTCCACTTCACTGGTAGAAGTGGAGGATTTTTTTTAACTGCCCCAACTTGGCTTGGCAGGGCTGTAGAAAGAAGTGTGTATGCCAAGAATTTTAACGTTTCGTAAGTAACAGCAAACAACCCCATTAATTACGTAGATCTAGATCCTAGACAAAACAGCGGGCATAAAACCAAGCTGCCAAAAGGTCATGATCCAGATGCGCCAGATTGATTAAGATGGTGTGATAATTATGCTACTTTACGCACATCATAAATTGGTGAACATTGTGGAACAATTCAAACAAATCAATCGATGGTTTTCCGCAGACCACCGGCGATAGCTACCGAGCGGAAATTCAAGTTGACAACAAAGTAATGATGCTAGGGAACGGTCCAAAACGAGATGCCTGCAACTTGCAAGATCAGAGAAATCTGCACTTTGAATGAACCATGCGACAACACTCTATTGCTACGGCCACACTTCAAGGCCTTCGAACAGCGCGAAAACGAGTTTCCGCACTTTTTCTTAAAACGTGTGCGTAGAGCGCCTTCGAGTTCACACCGTTTTTGGTGGGAGGGGACTTTCTTACTTCTTCGCGCAAGGCGAAGGAATGACCAGCACCATGCAGTCGGATGTGACGGCATACATTGCAAAACCGAGAAAATATAGCACTAAAGTATGTGTTATTCCTCGAGTAAACAAAGAAAGACCATTTACAGTACTTTCACAACCAACGTGTATCCGTAAATATCTTATTTCTTTTGAATCATCTGTACTTTCAGTAACTTTTCTTAAGCATCCACAACGTTGTACTAGCTGGGCACTGGCTAACTATCGGCCGAACAGCTTGAGTAGATCTTTGTTTCGCCATATGCACATACAGTACATGAGATTCGCTTACAAAAATACAATTAACATTATCAAGTGGACCGATTATGAACAGCTTTCATTACTTCGACTTACCAACTTCAATTCGGGTCAAATATTTCAGTAAAACGGGAGAAAGATCGACGATCGAGTTGAAGAGGTGAACTGTGAAGTGGAGCGGCTTGTTGGTTGTCCCTATTAAATTTTCAGGTTGTCAGGTAGTTGTTTCGGCATATACTCGTAATCACATCCCGGCTCTAAGAAAAGTTAGCGATTTATCGTTAACTTAGGTTAACGTCGTCAAAAGAAACTGCCGATTTATCCGCAGGGTCTTCGCTACGGCAAGTGTTTGGTTGACCTTTTAGCCGGACGCCATCTTGCTTTGTTCATTACACCGCGTAGCATATATTATCGTTTGGTGGTTCAGTTAGATTTCATTCTTCGTCGTTTGCTGTGTACTGGAATTACACAGTCTGGAACGCATACAGCCGCAGTTTAACCTGATTCCCGCCCAGTTTGCTTCGTACTAATCGTACTGACCATTTTTTTGGTCACGAAATTGATACCTGATCAATCAACAGCTCATTTATACATACATGCTGGAAACTTCAAAAATCGTGAAACTACGAATTCAGCTTGCCGGTAGCTGCAGCAGCAAGTTTATTACCTGCTTTAGTCGGCGACATATCCTCTGGTAAATTTACCCTACGCACAGATACTGTACACGGCATTACGAAGTCACTTCTTCCGCATTCGGAAACCGAATTTGTTTTCTTTTGCTTTTGACGAGATAGAGTGGTGTGTGTTGAACAAGCTCGCATTTCTGTACCCCCACAGGTGCATTACGGCACTTGAATGTCCTACAGAAAACGTACGAGCGTGACCTTTAGCGCTCTTTCAAGAAAAGCCTCGTATACAAAAACTGAGAATTTGATCTTTGGTGGTGGAATGATCAAGTAAACAGCAACCTGACATGTTCGATAAGGAAATACTGGTTTATAAAGTAAGTTTTCTACACATAGTACACGGTAATTCGTCTGCTACATAGATTCTGTTGCATACACTTTTAAATTGTGCTTTAACTACTTGTACAGTGTGTATTCGTACACCTGAGGTTTTCTAACTGTGAAACTAGTCAAACTGTCGCTTTGAAAAACAACAATATTTTGTTTGAATAAAAGCGGCAAGTCTCCGAACCATAAAATTTATAGCAAATTTTCCCAGCTACCAAAAAGTCATGCAACGAAATTCCAAAACGAAATGGTTAGACAACAAAGTCGCATACCGTGTTAGAATGTCATGCGCTGAGTTGTCCCATCGTGAAATGTCGTATTACCACTCTCCGAATTCGCTCTACCAATCAGATTTCTTGAAATTTAATGCGCATACAGCAAGCAGTTGTTTAGTGTTTTTATAGTTGTACGCATCGAGAGTTGTACGAGTCTCAATGTTTTTATACATGTTTTTTAATGTCTCGTACATGTCCCAATGTTTTTTTAGTAAGATAACACAGTGCAGTTCGCTAGCCAATCGCAAAACAGTTTACAAATCATTAGTTTTTACTCTGCGTTTCATACAGACAATGTCAAACATTATACTGGTCACATTTGCAGAACTAGCGTTTCACAAAATGCATCGCTACGTTCAAACGCATCGCCCGTTGGCATTTGCCGTTGCCGGTATCCACAGGCAACAGTGGTCAGAATTATCCAGGTCCTTCGCAAGGATTTTTCTTGACGTAGAATTTACCGTCCGCCTTCTTCAAGACGTTGAGAGGTCTGCCCTTCATGGATTCCGCTTCGCTCGATCCGGATTTTTTGGCATCCAAGTCAATCTGCAACGTGGGACTGGTATCATCATGCGTAAGGACTACTCATCGTTTCAGCCGCGGGCCGGTGACACTTACGTTCATCTCATACAGGGTTCCATCCTTGGTGGTTTTCTTGGTGTAGGAATTGACGGTGATCTTGGCATGCCCATACTTTCCACCGCACCAAGAAAGAGGTGGTGGTTTCATATCGGGTGTTCCCATGTATAAGGCGGTCTACATAAAGAAAACCCATGACCTTCAGCGCTCTAAACATAATTTAATATTGAAAAGCGTCTAAAAATTTGTTACTTGAAGACGTTATCTAATTAATAGTTTATACAGATACGAGCTTTTAAGGCAAACGTTTGCGTTGCAAAGGTCACTTTGAGGACAAAGTTGGCTTGTTTATGAACTTACGAAAGCAACTTGGTTCGATTCGTCGTCACCCTTCAGTGCAGCGACACAGACCACCGCCAGCGCTAACAACAAGGACAACTTTAGCAGCGACATGGTGCGAAACTAGCGAAAGGCGAATTCAGTAGAAAACAGGCCGGCACAATAATAGCAATGTTGTACTGCTGTATTTTATACTCAAACTGTGGCTTATATACAACGCCTGAGTGGCGCAGGCTTGGTTGGTTGTTTGGGAGAAAAAGCATACAAAAATATCCTTTGGGCAATTTATTCACCGCTAAAAAGTAAACACTTCCGTGAAGTACAGACTAATTGCAGGTTGTGTAACTGACTAAAACGTGATGTCTCCCTGAAGGCTGATTATTAATGAAATTTTTATGCTTATCGAGAGACAAGCCCAGGCCTGTCATTAAGGTTTTGCTGCACCCTGTCTGCGAAAAGCAACCACCGCTGATTGTTGACATATGTCTAGACATACGACACCAAATTAAATGCATTTTTAATGCTCGGGCTAATGATGATGCGCTTGGCTACTGCAATTCTGGTGCGTTTTTGAGAATCGCACGGTAGTGTTATTGACCGACGCCTTTTTATGAGAACCATGCATAGTATAAACGTTGGAAGTGGCGGTAATGAACCCATTTTAGGGTGTGGTGTTGTTCGTGTTGCTGAAAATGGATTCCCCAATGTTCAGCCGTTTGGTTTAGGACATATTACAAGAAGCAGAACGAACAAGAAAACATTTGTAATGCTGTAGAAGTAGTAAATTTCAGCACTGATGCATGTCCTGCTACCGTTTTTTGTTCGTACTGTAAATAGTGCAGTTGCATTACAATATTTATTGACTGCACAGACATGTGTAAGCCTAACGGAATCTTGTTACTTTAGTTTTAGTTTAGTTTGTTCATTTAGTTTATTCACTGCGAGGCCAAATCGTTGAACCACTCACAAGTCGGATCATACACTGCTTTAATAATAACAAAAACATACAATTACAAAAATTATTTTGATTTTGACAAGGACAGGTAAGTTTTGACAGAACCACTGTCAAGCAACTCGCTTAAGCAAGCCATTAAGCTTAATGGCTGCTCTGTCTGAAAGTAAGTATTTTTTGGGATAAGACCGACACATCTTTATGTCTTCGGAATCAAAAATGAGCTGCAGTTTTCCTGTGTCTGCTTACTATGAACATCGTCGTCCTTGCAACTTTGACTTTAGGATGTGCACTTATTTCAAGACAGCCTGATGTCTTCGCTTTGGCATTTTTGTAACTTTGAATGTTTTCAACGGAGCTGATTAATTATTTCAATACCCCATCGAGTTATTCTTATGGGAAATGTAAAACAATAAGTTTTTTAGGTTTTCCTATGATTTTTTAAGCATCCCGAGATTTCGTAATGCCGAAATGGTAGTGCTTCTTTCCCAACTCGATTCTCACGGATAAACCTTAATTTCTTTTTAAAATGCAAAAAAAGAACTTCTTTTTTTGCATATTACGAAGCCTGCCTGCATCGTGCTGTGCTTCGGTGATTTCTGCTGTCCCATCTCCGTCACACTTTCCGGTTACTCGCCATGTACTGTATGCGCTCAGCTTCCATCAATACCACCGTACGGCGATTAAAAGAAGAGCAATCAGTGTTGACTGGTTGTTCGAAGTGCGGAAATTCGGTCTCAAGAGTTTTCTAACTTTTATGCAATATCTGCCAAGATTTATAACACTTTATATCAACATATAAATAATAAAACAGTAAATAAAACCCTGCATACCCCAAGCAGTGTAACAAATACTGAGCAGTAATACCTCGTACTGCGTACATACCAATTACCAACCAGTGTACAATACAGTATCACAAGGTTATGATCAGGATACTCCCAGGATGGTTAAAAAATGTGAAGAATATGTAGTATTCACGTCGTTTACCCAAGATGCATTAATTTCTGAAGTCCTTAGAAACACCTCCAACAATCAATTCAGCAGCTTCTGGCAGGGGGCAGTTTTACCAAATGGAGTTTAAAGTGAGTCCGGCCACGGTGGTAGCAGACATGCAACAACATGCAACCCAAGTCAAAATGTCGTACTCGTACTTGCGAAGTACACAGAAAAGTTCTGGATTGGTTCGAATGTGGTGTCAGTTTTCTGAGAAAACCGTAATCTTACTTAATTTTCCTCAAAGCTCTAAACCAGTTCTAAGTTCCAACCGGAAGTTGCTGCTTCTGCCGAATTTTTATTTTTGTTGTTTACTACTGTGATAGTGTCTGATGTGATGCGTTCTTTTTGGAAACTTACGCAAACTTTCCGTTTGAAAAACTTTCCGTTTGAAAAAATAGCAGATTCAGCGTGTTTCAGTATTTTAATTCTGAACATACAAAACCGAACGGCTTTCAACTAGTCAGCACAGAATTACTCGAGCTACAAAAATAATTTTAGCAAAAGTTGAACAGAGAGTAATATTTCCGATTATTTCGTCGGTCAGAAACAAGTTTATTTAAGCAGGAAAAAAGTAATATTTCGTTTAAAGCCTAAATCGTTTGCATGTTGAAACAAGTGCCGTAGTTATCCACTTTTTTCCGCATTACTTCCTCTCCAAGCTGAGCACAATCCAATTGCGTCCATGCGGGCGTTCCACGACAAAGCGCTGCTTATTCTTTGAAACGGGGAACGGGAAGTGCGGTATTTCCTGACGAAGTGGAACATAGGGATCACGCCCTTCTCCAGCTGCGATATGAAATGCCAATGGACAGCGTCGACGCGGACAGACGACAGCATGGGAAACTGACAAGCTGATAGGCCCAGACAAAGGAGCAAAACATTTTTCACACTGGATGTAAGTAGCGTTCTACAACACAAGTATTACGTGCATTAGTTACGGATCGGGTAACATCTGGCGCTAACTACCGTACCGGATGCTTCTGGAGCATATGATTGCCAATTTCGTTGTAAATCGGCTTGTCTCGGCAGAAAGTACACTCCAACCAGTATTTGTAGTTTCCGGTTCGCCGTTCGTCTGCACTGAAAAAGCAATGGATCCGTTATTTGTTCTTTTGTCGTTATAAACGTAAGATTCAGATAAAATAAATTCGGATAAGAATAAAAAGGTTTGAACTCGTTATAGATGATAGCACTAGATCGCTTCAAATAGAAGAACATTTTTTACATAATAATTTAACTCCGGCTATTTACAGACTAATCGTTGTTCTATAAAGTTTAGCGTTACGATGTTTTTATTCAGCAATCGCGGCTTCAGATGCACGTGCAAATGGCTGCGCAGAACCCCGCTGAAGAATATCAAATACACTAATCCACATTGATCGGTATTCGAATTCCTGTAGCTCGTATTTAGTGCTCTGCGAACGGCTACTGTATTTTGTCTAATTATTGCTAAATTTACGCTTTGTCTTGTAAACGCCACCGACCAAGGCTCCACGGTAGTTTCACGGATCTCCCGGCCGATGAAACGAATTATTTCCTCAAAGACTGTAGCAGTGTTGGTGACATCGCTGTTAGTGCATAAAAACTATTCGTATTTGGCAGACGATAGCGTACTTCGCTGACAACTGCTTATACCAATTGTCGCTTTTCTATTGCGAACATAAACCCAAAATGCTAACCGTTGCGACACCCTAACCGTTCTGACACTGTTGCCGCAATCTGGGCTTCGGGGCTAGTTATAAGACTAATCAAACTCCACAAAGCATAGAGCTTGTGTAAGGCGACCGTAAGTGCTTACTCAAAACTTTAGTTCCTCTTGTTAGTTAAAACAAAACAAGGGATGCTGATTCTGTCTGGATAGTTTGGCACTGATAAGTGGCCGTCACCGACTGATTTAAATAACAGACTTCGTAAAAGATCAACGCTTAATGTAAACAGAAAAAAATTACCGATAGAAGTATTACTGATATACAGTACAAGAAGCAATCTGCGTTCTAGTTGCATACGTAGGCCTAGTAATTTTATGGTCTGAAGAGAGCTATTTAATCGTTTATAGGTGAACAACACCACGACCTTTCGCAATCAATGAAAACAGTCCGTTACAACAGCGGCAGTTTCTTGTTTTTAAGGGTTCGAAGGTAAAATTCAAAAGGACAACCTGACAGTAGCTAAACAGTTAATAATATTGGCTTTACTTAGATGTTTTGTTTCCAGCGCAACAGTTACTAAGCGAAAACGACATCAATTTACATTGTGTGTCATAGAAATGCACTTACTGCAGTAGCAAGTGAAAACCTTCGGTGCGCATAGCACTCTTTACAGTGCAAGGAATGCTTTCGCACGGGCCCCAGTCTCCTTTTTTTCCCAATTAGTGCAGGCAGTCCGCAGCATTGGAACACAGTGTCGACCAGCTGCGCAAACAAAATTAAATTTAAAAGCGCCTAGATCCGTAAGGAAGTGACCGATGCATTTCACCAATTTGGTGCACATTTATACAAACGTAATCTTTATTATCAACCTTTCTTACTCAAATTTAGCGTGAAAGCCTCATAAAATCAGTAGCGCTCTACGATTACAATTTTACACCGAACCAGGTTCGCACCATTTTTTTATCGTTTGAAGTGAACCGTACTCACAATTTTTTGCAGTCCTGAAACAATAAAATTTTTTTCGGAAACATCGTGGAAACCTGGTTCGGTGTGACAACGGTCTGCACGTTCGTATTTTTTTTGGTGACTTTTTTGCTTAATTTGATGAAAATCGATCGCTCTACAATAAAGCTTCTGGTACGCCAAAATGCACTAAAAGTATTTTTTATTTTTTACAGCAATAACTCCCAAACGGACGTTACACCTCGAACGGTTCTCACGCCCATGTATATCAATAATCTGACTACAAAATGTGATGGAGCAATGCAACAAGTGACTAGGAGAGTGCGAAAGTAAAAGTTTTCGTGAGTGTACACGAATTTGGTGTCGTGCACCGGGTCACTTCGATAAACTGAGAGACTGCGACACAGGGTGATTGGTATTAAAAGTTATATCTTCTACTTAGTAGTATAACAAGTGTTTCACTTTTTTATCATTACAAGTTTTACACCAGTGGTATAAAGGTACTAAAAGCCCGGCTGTAATAAAAACACATGCACTGCCACTGATCCGCTAGGATAGCACAATATCTCAACGGCATCTAATCCTAGTTACCTTGCTTCCCCGCTGCAGTAGAGGTTCAGCCCACGAGCAG